AGTTGAAAATTGCAAAATTTTACTAAATCAAGGGCAATAACTCTGAAAATACTAATAATATCCAGACATAAATACCCAGGTGCACAACTACACACGCTGATCAACATTCTTGTAAAGTTTCATGACTCTAGGTCAAATTATTTTTGAGTTACATGCGACACAAGTTGAAAATTGCCAAATTTTACTAAGTCAAGGGCAATAACTCTGAAAATACTAAAAATATCAACACGAAAATACCCAGGTGCACAACTACACATGCTGATCAACATTCCTGTAAAGTTTCATGACTCTAGGTCAAAAACTTTTTGAGTTACATGCGACACAAGTCGAAAATTGCAAAATTTTACTAAGTCAAGGGCAATAACTCTGAAAATACTAAAAATATCCAGATGAAAATACCCAGGTGCACAACTACACATGCTGATCAACATTCCTGTAAAGTTTCATGACTCTAGATCAAATAATTTTTGAGTTACGTGCGACACAAAAGTGAACGGACGGACGGACGGAAGGACGGACGGAAGGACGGACGGACAGACGGACGGACGGACAAGGGTAAATCTAAATGCCCGCCACTAACGTGGGGGCACAAAAATAGCTGAGGGAAAGCCTAAAATCTTGTTGTTTCAAGTCATCACAATTAAGAGTAAATAGATACACTCAGTCGTGTCCGGGCTGTAACTTTGTCATGCATTGTACGATTTTAGAATAACTTGATATGAATGTCTAACACATTAAGACAATGTGTCCAAGAATTATGTCTCTACCTCAAAGGTCAAGGTCACGCTAATATTTTGAAGTTTCACTTGATCACAATAAGAGATTATAGGTACTCACATTTGTGTCCGGACTGTACTTTTACCATGCATCAAGGATTTTAGAATAACTTGGCATAAATGTCTACCACATCAAGTCGACATTTTGCGTCCAAGATCCTTGTCCCTACCTCAACTGTCAAGGTCACAGTTATAGTTAAAAGGCACTCATTCTTACGAGAAAAGTTTGAAAATACACATTTATGTCCGGACTTTTAACTTTTGCATGCATAGAAGGATTTTAAAATAACTTGGCACCAATGTCTACAACATCAAGACGATTTGTCGCGGCTAAGGCCCATGGACGTCCGTCCGTCGTCTCTGCGTCCCCACTTACACAACAATCATGTCATGTCCAAGTTGTGTTTCGTCCAAAAAACAACGTCCCTTCTTCAAAGATCAAGGTCATACTTATATTTTGAATGGTCACACTATCGCAATTATACAATATACGGTACACACATTCTTGTCCGGACTTTAACTTTGTCATGCATTCAGTTTTAAAATAATTTGGCACAAATGTCTACAACATCAAGATGATCTGTTGTGTGTAAGATCAATGTTCTTACCTCCAAAGTTTAGGTCTCTCTAATAGTTTGAAGGTACTTATGCCCATAAAAAGAGATTGAAGGTACACATTAGTTTCCAAACTGTAACATTGTCATACATAGAAGTATCATAAATGTCTACAACATCAAGATGATATGTCACATCCAAGACCCTTGTCCCAATGTGTTGTTTTAGTTTGCTAAAAAATAGCACTTCATATCAAATAAGTAGTATAAAGAAATAAGTTACTTTCATTCTCTTTTCTTTTACTGATTGCTGAAAAATTTCACGGGGCATTCGTCTCTTACGTGGCATCTTTTGTGTAAGTTAAATAACTGTAGCATCCCATTCCCCCCAATTAATTTTTAATTTTCCCCCAAATATAACTTTAAATTTTTTGTTAAATTTTTCCTTCAACTATTTAAAGCCCCATATTCCCTTTTTTGTAAAGGTTGATACCTTTTTAAGTTCCTCTTTTTTTAAAGCCCCCCGAAAACCGGGAATTTTTATTAAACGTTTTTTTTTTTCGTCCCTCCGGGAAAACTTGTCCGCGCCCTTTATCCCAAAAAAGGGTGGGATTTTAATGTAAAATTTCAACAGAAAATGATCCATACCATTTCCCTTTGTTGTGCATTTTTCGCCGACACAATCCCCCTTTCCCCCCATGCGGGAAAGTGGCCCCATAGCTCAAAATCGAAAAATTTATTTTCCGGGGTTTTTTTAAATCAAAAAGCTGTAGATTTCCCAAATTTAAAATTCACAGAAGTGATCAGGTTCAAAACCCAATTTGCCCCGTTCTGCTCCGCTGCGCAAAATAGCCACCTGTGCTATAAATAGAAACTATCTTTTTTTTTTATTCGTCCGTCAGGTAATCTTGTCCGCGCTTCATCTCCAAAACTAGTGGTGGTGTTTTAATGTAAGTTCACAGAAGTGAAACCCGTACCATCCCAAAATTGTTTTTTTTATCCCCCGGCAGTTTTTTCCATCTGCCCAAAAGGTCGCCCGAGCTATAAAAAAGAAAAGTTTTGTCCCCTTTTACAAAAAATTTTCTGCTTTATTTTGGGAATTTATTTGAAAATTCACAGCAGTGATCAGTCCATCCCCTTGTTTAAAAATTTAAAACGCCCACAAAGTTCTGTTGGATGCACAAATTGGCCCCCAGACCTAATCAAATATCAAAAATAAATTTTCCGGCCCTTTCACCTTTTCAAAACTTTCCCGGTGAATTTAAAATGAAAAACTTAATTTAAAATTTTTTTAAAAACCCTTTTCCTAGTTTTTGCAAAATCGCCGGGACATTTTGCCTCGGGTTTTCAAGGAAAGGCCACCATTTTAAAAATAGAAAAATCTTTTCCAGCTTTCCTTGGCCCAAAAATTTCGACCGGGGGTTTTAAAACATTCACAGAATGTCAGTTAAACCATGTTGTACATTTTCGCAGGCAACCTTTCCCGGCCCGCTGCCCCAAAAAAAAGCCCCCAGAGTATATAAAAAAACCAAAAAAACTTGCCCGGCTTTCCCCAGGGCAAACTGCCCTTTCCAGGAATTTAAGAAACTTCAAAAGGAGTTATCGGAAAAATCTTTAGTTGCCGGGAAAATTGCCTACCAAATTACCGCCCATTGAAAAAAATGGGCCCCCCCATTCCCATTTAAAAAAGAAAAAAAAAGTGGGCCGACTTTCAAAAGGGGCCAAAAATGTTGGGGGAGTTCAAAAAACCCTATTAAGCATTGGCCGGCACGTTCTGCTCAGAAGTTTTCAATGTTGCCGCTTAAAATCTTAAAAAAATTATTAAACCGCTTTTTACGGGTCAAATTTCCCGCCCGGGATTTTAAAAAAAACTTCCCCAGGGTGAACAGTACCATCCTAAAATTGTGCCCATCGCCCAAAAGGGTTTCCCCCTTTCCGGTTGCCAATATGGCCCCATAAACTAAATTTTTTAAAATTTTTCCGGGGTTTAAAAGGAAAGAAACTGCATGGTTTGGGGTTTTAATAAAAAAAACACTGGAATGATCAGTTATCATCCTTAGTTGTGCACATGGCTGGTACGTTTTGCTTCACTGCACAATATCCGGTCCGACTTCCACAGGTATTACTGCTGATTCTAAAACTCAATGAAAAATATTTCGGAAAGTGCCCAGAACAAAACCCTTGATGTGAACATTTCCCCACAAAATTTTTTTGGGTTTTACAACAATGGTCGCCCCAAATTATAATGAATCTTGTTCAGCTTGTTTCAGGGGTTTAAAATTTTCTTGGGATGTTGTAATGAAAACTTCAATAAGAATTTAAGTATTTTCCCTTTTTTGTTTCATAAATTTACGGGACGTTCCTCAACTGAACAAAAGGGCCGCCAAAGCTATTAAAAATAACACCCTCTAACTGCTGGGAGGGGGTTTTAATTTAAACTTAAAAGGGGTGATCAAACCCTTGGGAAATTTTTCTGAAAAATTTTTTGGAAAAAATATCTATTCCCAAAAAACGTTCGGGCTCATGTTTTTTTACAACCAAACTTAAGAGGTAATTTTATGTCCAAAAAAATTCCTTTAAGGGGGGAGGGGGAAATTCTTTTAGGGGAAAAGCTTTTTTTTTTTACCTTATTGGTGGGGGATGTATGGGATGTTTTTCGTGCGTGCTCCCTTTTGCGTGCGTGTATGTGTGTGTTTTGGGGTTCGGTCACTGGTGCCCCCCGGTGAAGGATAATGCTGTAAAAAGGTATTCAATAAATTTTTTCTCCCAAAGGGGCTAAAAAAATTTAAAATTTTTACACATTTGCTGAAGGGGCCCCCTTTATTTAATTTAAAAAATTATTTAAAACTATGGTAGGATTTAAAAATGCTTCCCTTTTGGGTTGGTTTAGGGGGGGTTTAGCGAATTTTTAAGCCCCAGGGGGGTTTTTTGAAGTACATTTCCCCACACCCCTTTAAATTTTCCCAACCCCTTTTTATTTTATTAAAAATGTTTTTCCCTATTTGGGAAAGGAAAACTACCTTGGATTTTTCCCAAATTTTTGGGGCACAAGTCAAGGTCGTCTTCCTAGAATATATTTTTTTTTTTTTCCCTTAATTTCTCTTAGTCCCTTTTTTTATTTTCCCATATTTTTAGAAAAGACCATATCATAGGTGGTGTGGTATTTTAACTTTTGGTGTTACTGTGTTTGACTTTAATATACATGTATATTTAATGAACTTTTATTGTAAGTTGAACATTTTTGAACTTCTTCGATTAATAAAGACTTACATTTTGCACAATAACAAAAGTTTATGACTGCCAAGTTTTATAATTTTGTTTATTTTATTAGGGACAATATGTTTTCAATAACTGAGTGAATGGGTTATGACTGTAATTTTGGTCGGGGGGAGGGCATATGTGTTAACCAAACACGTTTTTCTTCTTCCAGTTATATATGAAAATAAAATATGAAACACTTGTATGTTATTGAATATCGCAGAATATGATAAGTTCATGCTTTTATATAATAGAAAATAGTACAAGATATAACATAAATTACAAGCTAGTGGACAAAACATTTCTATCATGGCTATTGTAAGACTTAACATGTATTGTAAAAGGACATACGTCTTTAAAAGGTAGGATATAATCTTATATAGAAATATACATGTACTTCCTTTTTTCTCAGCCTGTGGCCACAAACATTTTGGACCAGACTGTAAATACCAGTGTCATTGTTTTACTAATGGATCATGTGCAAAAGATTCGGGAATTTGCAATCTATCCCGTTGTGATCCGGGATGGCAACTACCAAATTGTAGTCAATGTAAATGCTTCTGTCTTCACAAATGATTCTATTTTTCAAATTAAAAATCACATTATATAACAATGTAAGGTTATACTCCTTATTTGTGTTATTATATTTTTTTCCAACTTTAGTAAGGCGATTCTGACAATTTTTAGCTCGCCCTTTACAAAAGTATATGGACGAAGCTTTCCCCCTATTCACTTTGGCTTCGGCGTCCACGTCCCCTTCCATATTTCAGAATAAAGTTTTGGTTCAGTAAAATATTTTTACTATACAATTTTATTTCTTAAGGTATGAACGTTAATCTTTAAATATATGTTTTCTTTATCACAACCACATCTTATGTATCAACGTTTCATAACTCTAGAAGCCAAATCTTCTTAGAATTATCTACCACTTGAACATTAAATTTTCTTTTTAAAAATGTTGTTGTATTTGTTGCTTGTTAAAAAATGTTATTTTTACTATAACGTCTTCATTTCGTAAGGCATCTACTTCCAATTCATTTACTATAATTATCCCCCTATGAACCCTTAGAATTTTATGTTAAGAAAATGTTATTTTTACTGTAAGTTTTTCTGATGTATCTTCTTGAATCTGCAAATATTTTACTTATTATCACCCACATCATGTTTGACAAGTATTATAACTCTAGCAGGAATTAATTCTAGAACTATTTCCCCATTTAACTTGGAATTTCTTTTCTAAACATTTTTTTTTCTCTTACTTCTTTAATTTATCATAGGATTTACTTGACACTTTGAATTTTGAAGTTTTTATATTTACTCCCATATAATATCAAATTAAATTATGATCATAGCTCATGCGTTAATATTTTCCGAATTATCTGCCCGTTCAACATATAAGTTTACTTATTTTTTCTTTAACTTCTTTATTTCTAGGGGTTAGCCTGCCCATACTCTGCCTTGTGCCCTGTCCTGTTTTTGTTTTGGGTCCTCCTGGGCTCATTGCCACTGGCTCTTGTAACTGGGTCGGGTGGGGGCTGCGTTCATTGAACGCCGCCTTTCCTTGTTGATCTTGTTTATCATATTTTAAACCAGACTTCAAAAATATGTTTGATATCAACAAGTTTGTCATATGTGATCCAATTAATAACTCTATAGTATCTGTTGTTCCAGAATAATCTCCAAACTTAAGTTATTAGATCTTATTTTAAATGGTATCTTCTCTAGACTTAGGATAATTGGTCTTTGTCATTACTCACATCATGCGTGACAAGGTTCATAACTCTAGCATCTTTATTTCAAGACTTATTTCCTCTTTGAACTTTTAATTTTACTTTAAAAATTCTTTATACATTTTTCCTGTGATCATTTTTTTTACCCACCCCGTTTACTTCGAAATTTTGAAAAATTTTTGTCTTTTTCCAAAAAAAACATTGAAAAAATCTGTCCATTTGAAAAAAGCTAATAAAATTTATTGACTGGTCAAAGTGCATATGAAAAATTTGGCGGAAAAAATAAAAAAAATTGAACCTTTTTAAAGGTTTCTTATATGGGTCCAAAATGTTTTTAATTAGGTTTTTTTATTTAAATTTAAATCGTCAAGGGATTAAATAGTCGAGTGTCGCCGTCTCCCTGACAACCCCTGTTCTAAGCGGGTTTTATAAAAAGAATGAAAAATTAAAACAAAAAAGCAGGCTAATGGGTTTTGCAAAAGCGCGCGCTTTTTAAAATGGAAACCCGTCGGTATGGGCGGGACTTCGGTTATATGGGTTGGTTCCCCTGATTTAAAGCGGGGGTATTTGGGTTTCGGCAAAACTCTAAAACCACGTTTGGTTTTGTCGAAAGATTTTGTAAATGGAGTAAAACGGCGATAATCTTAATGTTTATTTAGGCTGTTGCGTTGTTTATATTACCGTTGAAGTTTAAAATTGTCCATCATCGTGAATAATTATATCTTCTATGTCGATGGACCAAAGATTAATGTGAAAATATTGGAATTGGAATGAAATGCATGGTGATTATGACGGTAGGGGTGCGTATTTTTCCGGCGAACAATTTTAACTTGTGTATTATTGTAGACGTTGAAATAAAAATATCTTTCAAAACGGCTTTCATTAATTAATTATATAAAATATTATATATATATATATATATATATATATATATATATATATATATATATATAATATATATATATATGATCAGTACATGTGCTGGGATTGACAAATATCAATTTTATTTGGATTTAAAAGGCGTTTTAAGCTCCCCAACCCAAGGTTTTCTGTTTTAGGCTGTTGATTTTTCGGCCTTTTATGCTTATGAACTGGTTAATTTAACCAAAGTTTACAGACCAAGAATTTAAGTTCTGTATGTGAAGCATAAACGTCAAATGGGCCTTTTTTTTTAAAACTCGTAATGAAATTAAAAAAATTCTTTCAAACATCCCTTTTTCCCATCTTTTATTAATTTACATTATGACATTCAACGAAAAATTTTTCATGAAAAATGAAAGTTAAAAAAAGTCAAAAGCTTTACATAATTTTCCTTTTTTAACTTATCACCCTTTCTTTTTATGTACGATAAAAAATCCTATAATTTCCCTAACTTATGACTTTTTAATAATTCCGTTGCCGGGAAATTTTCCTTTTAACCTTTTATTTTAGGGAAAAAAAATGGGGCAGTCCTTTTATGTTTATGGCAAATTTATATTTTATTCTAAACATTTTTCAACGCCAATTCAGCTCAATTTGACAATGAAAAAATAAGCATTATGATACTTAAGGCTTAGAGTAAACTGTTCGGTACACTGACTCGAATTGTGATATAATCTCCTGCTGGGAGTGAATATGAAGTGCATGCGGTCCTCGCTAGCAGGGCCCATGTTTTGATTTATGTTTATATTTTAGTGATAATGTAACATTCTTTGAACACTACACTTGGTTTTGTATAAAAGAGACACTATCTAAATCATATGGTAATTTTCCAGCTTAACTGGACAAATGTTGAGTACTTTCAGACAAAAAGCCTTCCATAGACTCTGCCCGGATTCAAACCCATATCGTTGAGGGAATCGTGGCCTGGAATTTATTTAATTATATGTCTTTAACTTCTTAAAACACTTAAAATCATTTTACTTTAACAACATTATCCAGTGTTATTTCTCTTTGCTAGTAATAAATTTTGAGTGCTTACACGCTATTTTCATCATATAACATATTTGTAATAAAGAAAGATCTATTAGTTGGGACACATACAAGCTAATGTTACATCATAATTTCTATGTCTATCTCTTATTAAGTTTGTGACTGTTGAAGATTTTGTATACACTGTTCAACTATTTGTAACTGTCGTGATAATAAAAAATGTAGTGCTATAACTGAACATTGTAGGACTGGTTTACAACTTATTCGTAAAATAGTTAGATATACTAGTTTACTCACTTCCCAGGTAAGTTTAGATCAGAATTCTTACAGCCGTTTCTTTTTAAGTGTGTGACTACCGACGTTTTGGTATTAACTGTTCAACTGTATGTAACTGTCGTGATAATACAAGTTGTAATGCTATAACTGGACATTGTGAGACAGGTTTATGCGATCCAGGATGGCTTGGCCTCAGCTGTGACAAAGGTACAAACAACTTTTTTATTCAAGTAATGATAGAAGTAAATATAATTTGCTGGAATGCATCCTCTGATTTGTATGGCTTTAATTTTAAGGTACTGTATAAGTGGACATTTATTCGCACAAACAGTTTGCGAATGTCACAAAGTGGACTTTTTGCGTGTGGAAATATTTGCGACCATATTATTTCTTTAATATAATACTGTTTATGATATTAATTAAGCAGGTACATGTTAAGAATTTGCATTATTGAAATCCTTCTGTTTAGTTGTTTAATGCCTTTATTATTTATATGAATGTTTGATATATACATTGTTAGTTTGATAAAGAACCTGATCACACATTTCTTTGTCATATTTTGAAACATTCTTTTGCTCAATAAATACATGTAACATATTGTGTATTAACACATATACATTGTTTCATTGTATTAATTGTGATTTCTTAAGACCAAACTTAAACAAACAAGCAATGTCAGTATCTGAACAGTCAAACTTATTCATGTTAGATGCTGTATGAAAACATAATTTCAAATAAGAAGAAATAATTTTTGCGCGATGGAATATTTGCGAATAATTTCAATTTGCAAAAATCGCAAATATTTCCACGTTGCAAAATTAACCACTTACAGTATACGGTAATTCACCTTTCTGTATACTAAAGCTAAGATAATGCAGATTATGCTAGTGCAAAAGTAACAAAGTTTGTGGAGCTTTGTATACACGTTTTCTTTATCAATAATATATTTGTAAATTAGTTAAAACTACAGCTTACTCACTTACAATGTAAGGTTAATCATAATTCTTATGGACTTTTCGTTTGAAGTTTGTGACTACCGACGTTTTGGTATTAACTGTTCAAACGTATGTAACTGTCGTGATAATACAAGTTGAAATGTTGTAAGTGGACAGTGTAAGACTGGTTTATGCGATCCAGACTGGCATGGCCTCAGCTGTGAAAAAAATACAAACAAATTATTCATTCAAGAAATATTAAAACCTTATGATTATGTTAAACACTAGTTAAGGGTATGTGATATCTCTGATTGTTTTGACTTTAATTTAAATGAATACAGAAATTCACCTTTTTGAAATTTTAAGCTTAGAGCATGCAATGTTTGTTATAAATGCAAAAGTACCAAGATTTCAGGAGCTTTCCATACACGCTCTTCTATTATATTATAGATTTGGAAATTATTTGGAATTGTTAGTTTAGTTTGAACGCGACAAAAATAAGGTTAGATCATAATATTTGTGTTTGTTTTTTTTCTTTTGAAGTTTGTGACTACCGAAGATTTGGTATAAACTGTTCAAATACATGTTACTGTCGTGATAATACAAGTTGTAATGCTATAACTGGACATTGTAAGACTGGTTTATGCGATCCAGGTTGGCTTGGTCTCAGCTGTGACAAAGGTACAAACAACTTTTTATTCAACAAGAAATAGAACCGTATCTTTATGAACCAATATGTAGTTGGTATGTTCTTTTCCCGGTTTTGTATTTATGTTATTGCAAACGTAAGATTGTTTGACGAGCTTAACAGAGCAACAGATAAGCTTTAAAAGTGAATTGGGTATTACTCCATCATTTCCTTTGGAATTGGGTATTGGCTCCATTTACTTGGGTATTCCAAAACTCGATACCCTATGATTTCAAGATCAATTGGGTATTCAATTATGAAGATATGAATTTTATGGTTTCAATATCAATAAAATTAAATTTAGATATCTTAACTGTTTTAAAAAGAAAATAGGATTAACAATTTACAAGAACTTTTCACAGTTGTTTTATTTTTTATATGAAATGCTCATGTTGTATTTCATAATATGTTTAACAAGTTCGTTTTCTGACTGATTTTTGATTATTTGCGACTGTTTTGTTTCAAATCATGTTCCCTTTTGTACGACGCCATATTGCTTTCCAAAGCGTCCATTGATATAGCTGGGACCTACTTATCGACGGTCTCCGCAAAATCAACGGTCTCTGCCGGTCTGTACGCACCTTATCTGTTGCTCTGAGCTTTGCATAAACGCTTTTTTGTCATGTTATGGATTTGTAAATTATTTAGAACTGCTAGCTTGAACATGTATAACCTAAGGTTAGATTGCTTTTTTCATATTAAGCATGCGGCTATCAACTATTTGGTATTAAATGCTCAACTGTATGTAACTGTCGTGATAATACAAGTTGTAATGCTATATCTCGACATTGTAAGACAGGTTTATGCGATCCAGGTTGGCGTGGCCTCAGCTTTCTGAATACTTAAGCTGAGATTATGCTAGTGTAAAAGTAACAAAGTTTGAAGAGCTTTGTGTACACGTTTTCTTTATCAATAATAAATTTGTAAATTAGTTAGAACTAATAGCTTACTCACTAACCATGTAAGGTTAGATCATAATTCTTATGGCTTTTTTTCTTATTTAGTGTGTGACCATCGAAGATTTGGTGTAAACTGTTCATCTGTATGTAACTGTCGTGATAATACAAGTTGTAATTCTATAACTGGACATTGTAAGACTGGTTTATGCGATCCAGGCTGGCTTGGCCTCAGCTGTGACAAAGGTACAAACAACTTTTTCATTCAAGAAAATGTAGAACATATTGTGATGTAGATCATAAGAGGAGGGTACGTTTGCCTTCAATTTCAATATGTAAAGTAATTTACCATTTTGTATACATTAAGCTTAGAGCATGCAGTTTATGTTATTGCAAAAGTGATACTTTTTAAGGAGCTTTTCATACACGCTTATCTATCCTATCATATAAATTTGAAAATTATTTAGACTTGCTCGTTTGAACGCCTAAAAACTAAGGTTAGATTATAATTTATATGTTGTTTTTTTCCGTTGAAGTTTGTGACTACCGACGATTTGGTATGACGCTACTTTTATTATATAATAGTTACTTAGTTCAAACTTCTAGTTTGTTCGCTTACTAAGTAAGGTAAGATTGTAATTATTATTATTCTTTTCCAGTTTGTGACCATCGAAGATTTGGTATTAACTGTTCAACTGTTTGCAACTGTCGCGATAACACAAGTTGTGATGCTATAACTGGACACTGTACTGGTTTATGCGATCCAGGTTGGCATGGCCTCAGCTGTGACAAAGGTACACACACATGTTTTATTCAACAAATAATGTTCAAGTATATTTTTTCGGAGGGAGTAAAATAAACAGTCGCTAACATATAGTTCGTTACCATGTTTATTATTAGTAAATTTTGGTAAAATGATACATAATTTTTGTACTCTATGTTGTCAAGATATTTGAAAGCAATAATCTATACATGTAAAAGAAAGGATAAGATATGATGGGCACACGAGTAACAACATCTTTTGTTTCTTTATTTCTATTCGGATTTTGGAATCTGTTTTAAGTTTAAGAGGGGCATTTTTCGAAAGCACTGAATAATATGTGAACATAACAATGAAACAATTGTCTGTATAAGTTAAGTTATAAGGAATATCATGATAGGGGAGTTATATGGCCACATTTCAGCTATACTTGACGGATAGAAAAGGGCTTCGGTGCCAATCCATGCATACTTAAAGTCAAACGGGTACCTGAATTGAACTACCGGTCTTCCGTAGGCATGCTGGATAATATCCTCACAAGAATGAACGCAGACGTTCGTGATTCGAACACACAGTCGAGATTGAAAAGTGGTTCGGAATCAGTGACGTTTAAAACTTCACACTCGTACATATCTATACATTTGTTTAGCTTCCTGCAATACTTTTGACACTGTGATTACTGATTAGCGTTTAACTTTAGTGATATAATCATAACAAATTGAGCAGCTATAATGAAACTTGCTTTCATCACCAAGTCACAAATTTGAAAAAACGACGCCTGTCATATTTAGAAAACATTTCAAGTAATTTAATTTCCAAGCGCAGTTTCTTCGTTCCTTCTTCTGGTCAACTGTTGCAAAATGGAGTATTTATCGGGCATTTATTCGCCTAACATTTAATTTTCTAGATTTGTGTCAGTTTACCCGTTTTGAAATTCCTTCGATATGAGTTATCTGGGAAAATGAAAGACTGGCATCTTTGTTAATGATAGTCTTGATTTTATTGATGTTTTGGTCAGTCAGTCATTTTAAGTTGACACGTATACACTTTTGAACTCATGCACCTACCTCATAATGTAATTTGTTGCACTTCCTTGCTTATTGCCATGAAAATTACAAATACAATTATCAACAGTTTTAGCAGATGTTCCGAGCTATACTTACACAAACAAAAACATCATGAGCTAAATTAGAAAACATAAACATACTTCATATTGCATTACATTTTGACGCCACCTCGTAAATATAATATCGAGTGTGTTTTATTTTACGAGCGTATATATTTTACACTTAAACAACATATGACTGTTGGATATAACTGTAATCTATAAATACAATACTAATGAATATTTAGTCAATGTCCCTTCATTATCGATATCTGTTTGGGAGTTAACCTTTATGTATTTACTCTAAAAATACCAATTGCAAAAAGATGTTACCATTTGGGGCTGATTTATCGTTATATCAATTCAATTTTGACTTTGTTCATTGTTTTAGGCGGAAATCTGATTCGGAGGATAAGGCACCAGGTTAGCACACAAATGTCTTCAGAAGCCAAAAGCACTAACTCGACATTTGCTGTTGATGGACAACTAGGCCCTGATCCGGATAAATGTCAATGTTGTAGTATAACAAATAATTCACCGTTATCTTGGTGGTTGTTAGATCTAGGGAAACGATATCCGCTGAAAAGCATAGTAATTTTTGGAAGGAACAACGGTAACTTGATAACAACACACATAAAATTTGTCAGAACATATGCATTTAAAATACTACATTCGTTTATATGTCATACTGAAAAAGTTATATATTTAAATAAAAAAAAATATATAATATATATATTGTGATATGAAAGAACATTATTAATGCATTTTCTTTTCAGAGGATTCGTATCAACAACTAAAAGGCTTCAAACTTCTTCTTTTTAATAACACCGCTGATGATAAACCTGAAATGGTCTTGTCCAATGACTCCCTACATACGATCGAAGAAAATAGATATGAGCTAACATTGAATAATACTTTAGCAAGATATATTAAAATAGAAAGACCGGGCGTTCTAACACTTTGCGAAGTTATTGTTATTGAAGGAAGTAAGTGTTGATTTGTTATTATCACAATATTGTATTCTTATTTTTTTACAAAATATGTTTTATGTAATTATGTTTATGCAGAATTTTGTTGATAAGCTTGAACACCACATGCATTTGATATTTGCAATGAGACAGGTAAACTCCACCACTGTGTCGCCGAGGCGCCAGACCTCTTGAATCTAGGGCAGTCTTGAATCTAGACCGCCTCAACGGTAGAGTTTCGTAGATCTGGGGTCAGGGGATGACGGATCAAATCAACTTCCAGCTGTAGCAAAATATATTCCTTTATTATAATTAATTTAATTATTTAAGTTAAGGTTAAAAAACCAAACGTACACAGTAAATCTTGTTTTCTTTCAAAAATATTTTGTTTAATTGTAGTGCATTTAAATATTGTAAACATATACATGTACATATTACACAAGTACAAATATAATATAAGACATGGTCTCAGAATTCAAATAATATAAGTCAATTAACATTAAATGTAAGCAATTTACAAATGCAACATATGAGGAAAATTACCTGTAGCAAAATATATTCCTTTTTATAATCAAATTTAATGATAGAGTATTAGTATATAGGGGATATAGGGATGATAAAGGTGAATTTGTACACCTGTGACACCTGCTTATTAAACCATGCTGGTGTTTGTTTTTTCAATTTAAACATTTGTGTCATCATGTAAACACTGTGTTTTACAACGGATTCTGAATCGACTCGAACTTGTATAGAGGCTGAATTATATGCTTTTATGGATGTAGGATTGAGTTTTAACTAATGACCTTCCTTTATTATTTATGTATTATATCTTTGCGAAACGTAAGTACATGACATTGTATTTGATGGTTGTATTGTAATCGATTTATAACAATTGCATCCATTGACATATACTCACCATAGCAAAGGTTATAACTTATGCTATGCATACCACGATTTAGACTTTTTATTTATCTAAGAAGCGGATCCTCAACGCCTTCATGAAATAATGGTATGTGTGAACATAAAAAATACAATTTTGAAGATAACAAACTATACTTAACAGATTGCATTGATGGGACATTTGGAAAGGAATGTGTACAATTCTGTCACTGTGCTGATAATAAGCCCTGCCAGACAATACATGGTTACTGTCAATCACCAATTTGTAAACTTGGTTGGATGGGCAAGTCATGTAATGAAAGTAAATATGAAAAATACAGTACAATTTGTTTGAAAATTGCAAAGTACAACCATACTTATTCAGAACAATTTTATACATTCATTGATATACATGTGTACCTTCTTTTTACCTTGCACATACATTATAAAGATGTGTAGTTGAATTAATTTAGAGAGAACAGAATATGATAATCATGACCGTTGTTTGCCAATGGTTATTGAAATACCAATCGGAAGTACGAGAATATTCCCGCATAAATTAGTCGGCAACCTATATTTAATAACCGATTTATACTACAGCAACTCCTTTAATTTACTTATTGCCGGAAGTTTACGAAATATTTGAATATCTTAATTTGCTTGTTCCTTTACATTCATTTGTTTGTGATAGCTAATAGTAAAAGTATCATCCCGAGAAAAATGCGCCTCGAGAAACCGTACTTTTACGACGGGTAACAGTTTTGCTGTTACTCACAAACCTATGTGTTATTTATTTTATTACCCCGAACAAATACTTGATTGGGACAATATTAGTTTTTATTACCTATACAAAATACAACATATTTAGTTACATGGTGCACTAGAATTAAAAGTGACTTTACAAACTAAAAAGAAGTGATAATAATTATTATTCTCCTGTGTAGTGTCCTCTCTGAACCTGAGGGCAACTGGATTGATATTAACAAATTAACGTTAACATTTCAAGGCTGCTCTGAGAGCACGTTCGGTGAAGAATGCAAACAAGTGTGTTATTGTGAGGAGAGCACTTGTAGCAGCGACTATGGTATTTGTCCTGGTAAATGCAGATATGGATATCGTGGTGTACATTGTAACATAGGTAAGTATTTTCTATGCATCTTTACCAAAACCATCTCACTTATTCACAAAATAGAAAATCTACATTTCTTCATGTATTTCTATTGATCAGCCAAAACTGATGAACTCATTTGATTTCAACGCAATTAATTATATATAGTTATATGATATACACATTGTCTATGCTGTGTTAATGATTTTGTCTTCATCTTGTGAAGTCTTAATTCAGGAGTCTTTAGTTGACAACAAATGCTTGTTTTTTACTTTAATTATCCATATTAATCTAAGGATTAGCTGACATACATGGACGTATAGTCTGGATAAAAAGAGTTTGCAACGTTTCTTTTACATTTTCTACTCAGAGGGTATAGAAGAAATAGAAGCAGCTAAGACAGCGGTTCATTCATCTTCTGTCGTTATCGGAGGCTCAGTTGCTGGCGGTGTTGTAGTGATTGGCATTTTGTTGTTGTTGGTTGTTCTTATATATAAACAAAGGATGCAACGAGTCAAACGGTATATTTCTTGTTTTATTTGTTGTAAAGATAAATGAATTTATTATAAAATCTATAAATATCTTTAAAATGCCTTTCCCTGATTGGCTAACAAGCATTTTTTGTCAAAAATAACAGGTCAATATCAGAGTATGTTCACTGTTTATTCCTAAAAAAAAGATTTTCACAGTAAATTCACCGGTTTTTTCTTCTAAAAATAGTTTTTCTGGAAATCCCCTGAACGACTCGAGAATATGAGGTGACGTCACGCAAAGTGTGTTGTTATTATTCAGAAAAAAACGTTGACTGACTCGTAAATAAGAGTCAAATAAGTCTATTTTATTAACAGTCTTAACATTTTAAAGAACAATACGAATTAGCGTGCCAATGCGCTCACTTAAACGAAAGGGCCAAATTATGGAAAAGACTTTTCAGCTGTTGAATATGATGTGATATGTACTGAAAAAATAATATCATTTTTTCAGTACATATCACATCATACTCAACAGCTTAAAAGTCCATATTTGTATGATATTTGATTATGGGTACGTGCATATAAGTATTTTTCACAAAATAAAACAGAGAATTCAGCTTATTCGCTGCTAGGATCGATACGCTGTTCTTATTATTTAATATCATAACCAGACCTCGTCGAACAAGTCTTCTATTTTTACTTTTAAATTATTGTTTGAGTTGTTCTGTAGGGCGTCCCTCTTTAATTTTTAAAATGAGGGAGATTCACTACGCTTTATAAACCTAAATAATTTTGTAATACATAAATCTACATATCGGATTTGAGACCACCCCCTAATTAAAGTTTTTCGTTATGTATGTTAAACAAAGAATTGTTTTTATAATTAACAGGAATGAAAGTGAAAACTACTACAAAACAATCCATCGCAATATGGCACAAGTAGATGATGAGACAACTTACGATACAATTGACATTTCACACGGTAACCAAAAAAATCATTCAAGTCACACAACTTAAACTGAAAAATGTTAACTTGGATAATTGCAAATAATATGTGTATAGTTGATTAAGAAACAACATTTAATCAACTCTTTAAAAATGTATGTGCTGTTATTAAAATTTTGTTTCTATAAATAATACCGGCATAAAAGTGCCGTAACATGTCATTTTAGCATTCACTGGTGAAAATAATATTGAGTCAAGTACTCTGCCATGTGATGTCTAGGACAAAGGGTTTCAAATAATAAGCTAGATAGTTTCTGCATATCAAACTTTAATATCGTATTAAATGAGTACGCATCTAATGAGAAATATGTACCACTATATTAAAAGAATATTGACATTGACTAACATTTCTATCTGAAGCGAGTTGCAAATTACTACACATCAACTCAATTCAAATACTAACAGAAATGCTTAAGTATATTGTCAACAAAAGTTATATGTGATATTAAATGTTTATATGTTGCAGATAATCAAGACCAACAGAACGAAGAAGATAATGTGCGTGTTACAGGATTATGACATTTCAATCACAGATTCAAACTTTTAGATATTAGATATATATGTTCGTATTATATTGTGATTTTGTTTGTCCATACTTGAAGTATGTTCAACCGTAAAGTTGAAATAATTTAGTATTTAGAGTGTGTTTGACAAAAACAAGGGAAGAATTATATGTACGGATGAGGTACATGGCATGCCTGTATAGAGTAGATGATTAATTGTTCTTAAACAAAGTATTATATTTCATCATATGAATGTTAGTCAAAATCAATAACAGTTCTTTATTTTGTAAGAATTATTTTGATGGAACATTGAAATAATAAATTTCTTTTTCATCAATATTTGACTAATACTTGAAATATATACATGTACTTATGAAAAATGTGCTCATTGGACCGATGGTCTCTGGATTGCGGTCTTTTAAATTTATATGTATATAGACAGATATTTTTAAGCGAAGACAAGTTTTGGGATATTAGCACAAGTTCTGTTTTGAATATGTATAGAATATATAAAATATTCAATTGAATATGAAAATAACTTTGACGCATTACCAAAGAAATTACATACAGTTTTATTAAAAACTTACAATTTAATTACAACTTTTGAGAATACAAACAGGGAGGTATACGCGTAATACTTTACTAAGAAACCAGCGTTATTGTTTATTTTGCAACAAAAAAGAGATATAATAGATGAAGTCAACTTTGTATATGTCATTGTTAATTACAGATAAGGCTTATACACAAATAGATTGAACGGTTTTATTATGCCATCTCATCTGTGTTTAAATTGCATGAATTGTTTACTTTTTCAAATACATGTGTACAAATGATATCGCTATCTTTTGCAAATATATAAAAAGAGGCATTTGTAATCTGAAATTCATTTCTAGATAATATGACATACGTAATAAAATGTTGTAATACTTATTACCTTACTTGTCGTGTATTTATAATAATGTAAAATAAATGAATAGATTTTTCAAATTTTTCTACGTAGGTGACATGCTTTTTGCTCATGTTTACCCATTAAGATGATACACTTATGTATAATCCTAATAAAAAGTTTTTCTGTTCTTTAAGCGGTTAAGTAAAAATAGATTGAAAGAAATTAATATTCAAAGGGAATTTTTTTCCCAATGTCTTGGATTATTTGGATTATTAAATGAAATTAAAAGGAAATTCACGACAATTTTACAAACAAAACTCAAATACAATACATTGATAAATAAATGTGCTTACAGAATGTAGTTAGTTTTACTTAATAATAGGAATATCCTTATGTTTAATTACAAATGTTAATTAGATATGAATGAATTGGTGGTGTTCAAGCTATCATCAAAGTATTCTGTGTTTTTTTTCGAATATATCTTCCGCCATTTTCGTTAATCTCTAATCAGAGTTGTTTTACCTCCTGCTACAGAATTAAAAGCAAATACAAAATTTGTTTGGATTACTAGTACGTCTGTTCGTCCCTCTGCATTCCTACGACCCTAAACAATGTCAGTATACTCGAAAACGAGGTCGATCACACCCATCCGTTTCGCTTAAAATGCTTCTGGCATCATATTCCTATCCGAACCGCAAACATATGTCAGATATTTTTCTTGCATATTCTACCAAATGCATTTTTCTTTTAAAATTATGTATCTAAATTTTCAAAGGAAACTACTATAAAAATTGTCTTACAACAGCGTATGAAATTACAACTTCATTCATACATCCTAAGTGTGCCATTGAACAGCACGCGACTCATCTGGCATCTTCCATGCCAGATGTTATTTCTGGTATTGGTAAAACTAATGGAAACGCCAGTCTGATATGAAAGAATACTTAGGATGAACGAGATAAAAAATGTACATTGGCGCAATCAGCAATTAACAACGAAACGGACAAAATGACTCATAGTTATTTCCTGAGCCGTACGAATTCCATGCAATCGTTTAATGACTTAATATACAGACAATAAAATATAAACAATTTAATCTCTCTCACCAAATTATAAGGTGTCTTTTTCGAAATCCCCCTCATCATTCGATCATGTCAATGTTTATATTGCAGGATGAGTCAACATGTAATACAATATGAAGTATATTTGCTAATTTAGTTCCTGATTGTGTTACTTTTGCTATGCGTCAAAGCATCTGCTTTCACATGATGTGTAGTCAATTAATTAAGAATTGCATTCGCCTTTAAGTATACCTTACACGAGTTAATGTAAAATTTTACTGGTAAAGCTAAGTTAAAATTGTTGAAATACGGCTATTTGGGCGTTCTTAAGAGAATCAATGTTTTCTCTGTTTCACATAAAAACTCTAGCAAAACTAGGAAAATCTGCAGTAAATATTTATAAATGGCATTTATAATATTAATGGTAACGATGAAGTTATCTATGTAACTGTTTCGGGGTGGATTCATTAATAGAAATACTTTAATTCATATCAAACAATACAATAACAAAAACAAACATATCAGACAACATCAAAACACGAGGCAATCTGATTTATAATTAGGAGCTATGCCCCATCGTACAAATCAGCTTCTTTCTATTACTTTGACAGAATATATGCTTAATAATTATACGCTTCATCAATAGAATTAAGCGTGAACCACGGTTAACTCAGTGGGCGTTGAATCACAGTTGTGACACGTTCGATTCCACAATTTAATAAAAATCTTGTTATACTTTCACCCGTTTTGCTTCTCGTTATTTTGTGTCGCATCTACAGAGTAGTTGAAACATATAGGAATCATTCTCTGTCGTTTGTCTGTTTGTCAATCCGTCCGTCTGTCCGTCACAGAATTGTCCGTACTACTTCTCAAAACCTGCTAGTGCAATTTCATTTAAAGTTTTCAGGAATGATAAGTACCAAGTTAAGTTGTGCAAATCATCGGCTTTTTCCGGTTCAATGATATTTGTCCAGGTTATGGCCCTTTAATGAATTTTATTTTTAAAGTTTATCCGGGCTACTCGTCTTATACCACTAAAGCAATTTTTAATAAAACTTTACAGGATTGATATGTTGCTCAAGTACTTGCGCACATTTAAAAGTTTTGAATAATTTTAGCCGAGTTTTGGCCCTTGAATATAAAAAGTGTTTTGTGTGTTGCAAGCTACACATAATTTTGTCCCGACTACTTCTCAGAAACTACTGGTGCCATTTCATCCAAACTTTAAAGAATGATTAGTATTTTTATTTTTTAAGTTTGTCTAGACTACTTCTCTGATACAACTAATGCAATTCCAATGAAGCATTGCATGCTTCACATTATATAAACGATTTGAACCCCAACCGGATCTTGTAAGAAGATGTTAGTGTCAGCCATTTTCTGCCGCTTAAATTGTTTAATATATTGGTATTTATATTGATACTTTTTGATGTTTGGTTAGTAAATCTATATTTATATCGTAGAAGAGAAACTGTTTTAAACCATTTAAGTTATGCAAAATATAAATGCTAGCTTTAAGGCTATAAAATAATCGAAACTCACGAACAACTTCCAGGTGATCAACACTGAACACGAACAAAAATCCGTCATATTTCAAGATTGATTTAGTTAAACATTTGGTAATGATATCGAACTAATAAAGTTATCAATAACAAACGATAATTTAGTCATCTTAAAATATATTGCTGTATTTTGAACAATACAAATTAAGGGTTTTACTATGTTGATCGATTCCGTAAACTGAACGTTACTTGCTTGTGATTGTGAACGTTGAACCCTACTTTTGAGTTTACAAAATTTATCTGCACCCTGACATGTGAGTGTGTTCAAAGATTTAAATGATGATTAAACTATGTGTCAACACTTATTCCACAGATCAAACATTCATGTTGTGTTTTCATGGGCGTGCAGTGAGTGTTTGTTACACTGAGCTACTGTCAAGACCCCCAACTGCAAATGATTCATCCAAATCTATCTGAAATACATGTACATATATTTAGCAATTAATAGAAATGAACTGGACTTTTGTGTTAAGATAAATATAGCCAATGATAAACTTTTTAAGTTGTGTGAAAAGAAAACTAAGTAATTACCTTATGTATACAGTGGCACGACTTTAAATTATTTAAAAGTAAATGGAGAGTGAAAACTACCTTTTAGACATTTAACAACAATATACAGGAAACTCCATTAACTGATTTATCAAGAGTGATCCGATCCTAGTTTTCCTGCCAGGAAGACATAGTCAATGCATTTCTGAGAATATAAAACCGGTGTTTTTGAAAATCATTATGAAATCAACGGTAGGTGTAAAGCTTTCCAACATGTTGAAATAAGTAATCTGGCAAAAATCCTGTTATAATCTTTCGAGGAAGATTGATACGACGTCGTGACGTTATATAATAAATAGTAGAAACGTTTATAGTACTTATGATATAGCTTAGCTTTATATCTTTCCGAAGAAAAATAAATGGTAAATGAAAATGAGGGGTTGTTATCTTTCTGATTCGTATCACAAGCTACTTCATGCTGGTATTTCAATAGACAGTGAAAACATGATTAAGCTCCATTCATGTGCAGCATTAGTTACTTATATAGATCTAACAGATGTGTCAAGCTCTTGAAGCACAATAGCTTCATATTCTTTGCGATGAAATTTGGAACAAAGGACAAAAACAATAAAATTGTCAACAGTGACTCGCAAGTTATGGTTCAGTGAAACACAAGTAGGGTACAAATCATTAAAATTGTTTTAGCAAGACGGGTATAGTCATCAGAAAGTTTGTTTTATCAATATTCAAATATATTTATACGAGTGTCTGTTCAGTAACATGCGGTAAAGACAATAAAGTTAAGATTCAGATATGAGTTATAGTGAAGTTAAACAATTTTAGGCATAAACTTGCTTGTGTAAACGGCATGTGTTGACAAAAACAAAACATGAAGTTAAGAGCACAGCGTTTAATGCGCATATATTGAACGAAGCAGGTTATGGAGCAAAAATAAACTATTTCTTAAAATGATTTAAATGTTAACATAACTTCACTTATTAAGTGCAAGCCGTCTTTAAAAGTTTTATGGGTCATCCCGTCTCTTTGTTAGGAACGATGTTGAGGTCTTCTCTCAAGATCCGGTTTGGCTACAAATCGTTTATATACTGTGGACTTGATTGGTAGCCCAAGTTGTTGCGCATATTACCCGGATTTTCCGGTTGAATGATTTTCGCCGAATTATTACCCTTTAATAAAAATGATGTAAAAATAATAAAATGTGTCCGTACTACTTTCCTTATACCACTAAAGCAATGTCAATGAAACTTCATAAGGTTAATTGGTAGCCAAGTACTAATGCATACTACACAGGTTTTCCGCTTGAATGATTTTTGGTCGAGTTACTGCCCATCTATAAAAAGGTGCGTTTTTGTGCTGCCAGCTACACAGAAGCTTGTTTGACCTACTCCTCAGAAACTACTTGTGCAATTTCATCAAAACTTCACAGGAATGATCAATACTATTTGTAAATGTGCAAAAACTTACAAATACCACCAATGTTCTACCCGCAACCAATGGATCTACTTGCAGCCAGTTAACCGGTGTGTGTATAATTTAAGTCAATATTGACAAAATAAAACGTTGCAACGGTTTAAATTAACAGCATCATAAACATTGCAAAAACTTAAATTAAATTTCTTTCTTCGGACAAGTTTAATAATCTAGCTCAATATAAATGTATAAGCCTGTGGTTGAATTTTTTCTTTTGATAATATTTTGTTTCAAACACGCCCAAACTATAATGTGAAGGATAGAAGCTTTAAATATCATTGGTTGAATGGTAAAATGTAATATCTGTTTTCTTCGGAAGTTATTGCATGGGATCAATTGTGTGTCAAAAAGGAACAAGCAGACGATTAAAGCATGCAACCAAGGATTATTTAACAATTTTAATCCGTGAACCATGCCAGATGTGGTAGACAGATGAAGGATACTATCGTTATTCCGTAAATGTACCAGGTCAAAACCCATGTGAACTTGTGAAAAATATTTTGGATACAATAGGATGAGCGTTTACATATCATAACCGTAGCAATGGGTTTGTATTTTGATTTCTTATTGAAACACAGCTTATTGTAAGTTTATGACTGGTAGAATACTTCAGATCATCACAGTATTTGTCCGATG